CTCTATACCTTCATCACCTTCCTACTCATCTTGAAATCCTGAAATCTCAGAATGGTATTTATTTCCTCTCCTTTCCTTTTAAAATAACATCTAATGGGGCGTCAAGCCCCATAAATTCTTTCTTTTTTTGTTTTTCTATGACTTCAATTCTAGTTTAGGCCTTGATGCATCTTAGGCTTCTCTTTTCACTTACTACCTCTGTGACTTTGGGTGAGTACCTTGTTACCTGTCAGTAACGTGGGGATGGTAAAAGTGCCTATCTCACAGGATGGTTGCAAGAATAAACATAACACTGTACAGAAAATGCTTAGAGCAGTGCTTGACACATAGTAGGTGCTATGGAAGCATTCGCTGTAAATAGTATGATTTCTGGCCTTCTGCAATCCTTTGCCAGATGTACCATTCCCTAAGCATTCCTTTCATCAGGCCCCACTCCTGCTCAAAAGTCTGTAGTTTCCCCATGGTCTAGTTTGCAGTGGTGAGTGTGCAAGATGAATTGCTAGGGTATGGAAGAGATTTTTTTTCTTTTTTGAGACAGTTTCTTCTTGTTGCCCATGCTGGAGTGCAATGGTGTGATTTTGGCTCACTGCAACCTCCACATTCCAGGTTCAATGGATTCTCCTCCTTCAGCTTCCCAAGTAGCTGGGATTACAGGTGCGTGCCACCATGCCTGGCTAATTTTTTGTGTTTTTAGTAGAAATGGGGTTTCACCATATTAGCCAGGCTGGTCTTGAACACCTGACCTCAGGTGATCTGCCCGCCTTGGCCTCCCAAAGTGTTGGGATTACAGGCATGAGCCACTGCATCCAGCTGGAAGAGATTTTTATAACTTCTTTTATATGTTTTCATCTCATTCTTTTCTATTTTCTATTTTTAGCATGTTTTTATACTGTATGTTTTTGAGTGAGACTACCTATTTATGATTTATGAATATACATACTTTAATAAATAAATTAATGTACATATATTGGTGATGTGTTAAAAAATAGTTTACTAATAGAGGTTGGTTGCAGTGGCTCATGCCTATAATCCCAACACTTTGGGAGGCCAAGGCAGGTGGATCACTTGAGGTCAGGAGTTCAAGTCCAGCCTGGCCAACAAGGTGAAACCCTATCTCTACTAAATAATCTGGATACGGTGGTACATGACTGTAGTCCCAGCTACTCAGGAGGTTGAGGTGGGAGAATTGCTTGAACCCAGGAAGTGGAGGTTGCAGTGAGCCAAGATCATGCCACTGCACTCCAGCTTGGACGATGTAGCAAGACTCCATCTCAAAAAAAATTTTTTTTACTAATAGTAAGCAACCACGTTTGGGCGCCCCTGGTCTGAAGGGTGAGATCCAGACCCAGGCATGGCATTTCCCTGTGGCTGGCCCCATCCTGGCAGTCTTGACGCCCCTTCCAGTCTCCTTTCCTTGTGACCCTCATTCTCTCTCGTGCTTTTTGATTTTTTTTTTTTTTTTTTTTTTGAGACAGAGTCCCACTGTCGCCCAGGCTGGAGTGCAGTGGTGCCATCTTGGTTCACTGCAACCTCTGCCTCCCAGGTTCAAGTGATTCTCCTACCTCAGCCTCCCCAGTAGCTGGGACTACAGTCATGCACGACCAGGCCCAGGTAATTTTTGTATTTTTAGTAGAGAGGAGGTTTCACCCCATTGGCCAGGCTGGTCTCGAACACTTGACCTCAGGTAATGCGCCCGCCTTGGCCTCCCAAAGTGCTGGGATTACAGATGTGAGCCACTGTGCCCGGCCGCTTTTTGATTTTCATATCATTGCTCATCCCCTCACACTGTTCCTGCAGTATCCTCCCTCGGCCTCCCATTTTCTTTTCTTATCCAGAAGTTCACCTTAAATGCCTCTTGTTCCCTCAGCCTGCCACAAAAATTCTAGTTCCAGACCCCTTAAGTGTTCTTTCTCTATACTTCTCATTTGGCCTCTGTTGTTTTCTGTGGTGCATTGATATCTTTTGCAGTGTATACTTCTTGGCTCTGTAGTTATTCTGTGCCAGTTCTTACATAGACGTGCCTTATAAATTGTATTTCACTTGCTAACTTTGTTTTGAGCTATTTTGTCATTTCTCTCATTTATCATTTATCTGGAGACACATACCTATACTTTTTGGGTGATGTTAGCGTATCTGTTTTTTATCATAGTAATATATAATCCTTTAAGGAGAAGATTCATTTGTTAAATTTGTGACTTGAATCTCCTTGGATTTGACAGCATGCATCAGCTTGATGCAGACATTTGTCCACAATGTATTAATGAGCATTTTTTATATGTGGATTCATTGTTTTCTTTTGCTCCAGGTGACATAAAATCATAATCCATGTGTTTGATACCTTTATTTCAGCACTTACAGTCCTGAGTTCTACATGGCCTCCTGGGAAGGAGATTATTCTAGTGAGGAAAGCTGAATGGTACACAGAGCATACCCATTTAATCTGAGTTTTCCTCTTCTTCAAACATTGTAAAAATGGCTGTTTCATCAGCCAACTTTTGTCAGTTTGTGACAGCAGCTGTGCAATCATTAGAGATACCATTGGCCTTGGAATCAGAAGACACAGGTTTAAATCTTGATTCAGCTACTTGGTGGTTGTTTGAACGCAACCAAATCATTTAACTTTCGTTGTTTAACCTCATCTGTAGAATAAGCTTAGCTCTCTATAGGCCACAGCATTATTGTGAGGATTGAGACAGTGTCAATGAATGTACTGAGTACCTGGGAAGAGGTCAATAAATGTCTGCTTAGAAGAAAAGGAAAAATAAAAGGGTCTCTTCTGCCCTGGGTGAGCCTTTGGATGCAGAGTTTATTTTGAAAAGAAACAGACAAGTTCAGAGTGCATTAAATTTAGGCGTGAGACTGAAGACTGAACATTGAATCAGCCTGGTTTCTGGACCTGTCTTAACTAAAATGTCTATGGCCTCCCCAGAGAGTATGAGGATTAATTAGTTAATCTTTGTAAAGTGCTTTAAAGGTGAAAAGTGCTATCTAAGTGGTGTGGTTGAATTGCTATCAGGGATATAATAATGGTGGCACCATATTCTGCCAGTCTTGACTGTCTTGGACATCAATAATCAGTAACAGGAAAGTTCTAAGATGTTTTAATTGATGTGAAAGAGAGGATTCAATGTGTGATTTCTGATAAAATTATTAGAAGATAACTGCTTCCTAGTTTCTCCCAGCAGAGGAATGCTATGGTCATTTAAGCAGCAACAGTCTCATCCTCTGGCTTCTTGGGAATCTCCTGCTTAGCATTCCGGTTAGAAATCCTAGCCAGTTTAGGTAGAGGGACAGTTTGCCAGTTTGGGATGCTTTATGGGTCCTGGGCACAAGGGTTTTTAAGAGTCTAATCCTACAGAAGTGAAGGAAGAGTGTTGAGTGATTATGCAGTAACTAGTGCTTTATAGCCAATGCAGAGTGATACCATGGGCTAGTAGAAAGAGATGTGGCTTAGCTATGTGACCCTGGGCCAGTCACTTCTCTGAACCTTAATTTTTTCACCTGTCAAATGGCAGTATAGTAGTTGGTGAGTACAGTGATAAAGGTGGCTCACAGGAGGGTGACTTTCACCCTTTCTGGGGAGAGCTGGAGAGTCAAGAAAGGTTTCATAGAACTCATGGTACATGAGCTGGACTCTAAAGGTGGAGCCATAGTTTACCAGCTAAGGAGAAGACATTCTTAGCAAAAGGAACAGCACACAAAGAGCCATGAAATAGTACATGTGAATGGACCTATTCCCATCTCTCATAATATGCGAGGTACCCTGTATACCCTGTGAACTGCAGAGACTTTGTTCCCCCTTTGAAGAAGTCCAAAAGTCAGATTCCTGTAAACTGCTTGGTATCTTACCTTAGTGTCTGCTAGCAGGCTGATCCTGAGAACTGTTTCCCTGAATAGCCTTGTATCACTGCAATATTCTGACATTTCCCCATGAATCTATGGTTGTTTTTTTTAGCTGACACTATAAACCATATGTTGAATGTGGGGCCAGATGAAGCTTTGATACCAAACACAAAGTATGCAGTAGTAGATTTGTCTAGAATTTAATATGCATTGCTCTGTGTTTTGTCTCTAAAGCAAAGTTTTTCTTTGTTAAAATAAACATGTATAAAGAATTTATACAACGCACATGGTTATGCATATTTATTGCAGAGAATCTGTTAATAATCTATGCCTCATCAGATTTTGCATTTCTGTTGAAATAACAAATGTGGCACTTGGTAGAACTGAATGAATTTGGTGAATTTTCTCTTATCTGGGAGAAGAAAGTCCATTTCTCCTTTTGCAAATCTCATTTTCTTTTGTCATTTTTAGCACTGGCTAGCTTCCCATGTGGTGCATCTGGGGGACTAAATGCTTTTCTGACTCCAAATGGTTTTGCCATTTTTTTTTCTTCTCTCACTCCCTTCCCTCTAACACACATAAACACCTGCCTTAGGATTGTTAGAATTGCTCCTTTGGGTAAGAGCATAGATTCTGAAAGGTCCCCTTATGTTACAAAGTGGGGAAAGCAAATAAATCTGGCCATTGATTGAGCTAGACCCTAAGAGATTGTGGAGTGGAGAACTTCAAGGTGACTAAATGGGGCCCTGGGTTGGATGAGGGAGAGAAGAACCTGAGAACAGGCATCTGGGCAAAGCACAAGGAGTATGTGGGGAAGGGAGGGAATGGAAGGCCGTAAAGCATGGTTGAAGTTATATCCATAATCATATCCATATCTGTGTAACATGCAAGAGTGTAAGCTTTAGAATGAATCTCTGCTTGAATCCAGCTCTGGTACTCACAGCTTGTTTCATATTAAGCAAGCCTTTCAACCTCTCTGAACCTTAGTTTCCACATCTGTAAAAATGTGAATACTTGTGCCTTCTTTACAGGAAGATAGGAAGGCTCCTGGTAGTTGGTGCTCAAATAAATGTCACATTTTCTCTTGTAATTAATTGCCTATCCATGGGAGCACAGCTGTGGAATGTAGTCTTAATTCAAATAATATTTGTTTTTAGAAACTGGGAACGTGTTTACCTGGGGCCGAGCAGACTATGGTCAACTAGGGAGGAAGTTGGAGACTTATGAAGGCTGGAAACTAGAAAAGCAAGATTCATTTCTCCCCTGTTCAAGACCACCGAACAGCATGCCTTCATCTCTGCATTGCTTAACTGGAGCTACTAAGGTAGGAAGTGACTTCTTACAGATGTAGTGTGTCCCTTTTTTTTGTCTTTCAGTGAAGCATTTACTGAGGGCCTACTGTGTGCCAGGCATTATGGATAGGTTCCATGTAGGAATTTGGAGGGGTCCATGCCCCAAGGAGCCCAGGCTTTAATGTGGTCAAAAGTCAGTTACTCAGATAACTGTACTGCAAGGCAGACTTTGTGTAGCTCCTTGGAGATTCAAAGTACTCTGGATCTATTGTGATGAGCAAGAAATGAATTCAGGGTATAGAGATTGGCCTAGGCTTTGAAAATGACAAGGCTGCCTGGGCTCAGTGGCTCACACCTGTAATCCGATGCCGAGGTGTGTGAATTGCCTGAGGTCGGGAGTTCAAGACCAGCCTGACCAACATGGTGAAACCCCATCTGTACTAAAAATACAAAAATTAGCTGGGTGTGGTGGCACGCTCCTGTAGTCCCAGCTACTCTGGAGGCTGAGGCAGGAGAATTGCTTGAACTCAGGAGGTGGAGGTTGCAGTGAGCCAAGATTATGCCATTGTACTCCAGCTGGGGTGTCAGAGCAAGACTCCGCCTCAGAAAAAAAAAAAAATGACAAGGCTTGGATCTGTGCTTTGGAGGATGGGTCAGACTTGAGCAAGCAGTTGTAAGAGACAAATTTTAAGTGTGTGCAATAGCTTGAACAGAGTCATGGTGGTAGGAAAGTGAAGAAACTGTTTTGGGGACCACTGGTGGTTCAGTTTGGCTGGTGCATTGGGTATCTGGAGGGAAGATTATGAGGTAATATCAGAAAGATTGGCTGGAACCTGATCAAGGGGCCTTTAATACTGAGATAAATATTTTATGCTCATGTTTATTTTTCCCAGTGTAGAAAACCTTGCAGTTCAGTTGCTTATTCAAACCCCTTTGATTTTCTGAAATGGCTTGAATTTCTGCATTTAAGGCAGGAGTCTTAATTTCTCTAGGGTGTGTGTTTCTGTTACTAAATTATACTTTACTGTTACCCTTAAAAAAAAAAAAAGAAAAGGCTAGATTTTTTAGAAGAATGAGGATAGCCACATAGGAAATGTGCCTCTGAACCCAAGTTGGCTTAATGAAGGAATTCGGTCTTCATTCAGAGTCTGTCAAAAAAATTAATAAGCTAGTGAGACTTCTGTAATTAGCATCAGACTAATTACAACCCTTTCCATACCTAGAGGGCTTCCTTTCCCCAGGGCCCTGCCTGGCCTTCTCCTTCCGGGTATGTAGGACGGCTTTCAATTTCTGCTTTCACATCTCAGCCCTGGTCTTCCTGAGCCTTTTCTTAGTGCTGGGTTGTGTCTGTCTTTTTTTTTTTTTTCCTCTCTTTCTCTTAGATTGGAAAGGTACTAAACAATACTATAAAAACTATTTACATGTAATAAAACCATTTATTATTATGGAAAATTTCCATAATCTTACCACCCTAGAACAGCAACATTCCTTTTTATATATGCAAGTGTCCATACTTCTACAAGTTGTATCAATAGCATTTATGATGTTTTGTTTTCAGTCTTTATTTTATCAAGGATGCTTTGCTTTTTTCCTTCTTGGTCTTTAAAATGATCATTTAAAATGGCTATACATTAAACATTACATGATTAGAAGGTTCTGGGATTTCTCAAACCGTGCTTTGAATATTGGACATTTAGATCATATATATATATTTTTCACCACTAGTGAATCTCTGTTGAACTGTTTCCTTAAGATATGATTTTGGGGATGCAATTACAAGAGCAAAGGTCAGGAATATCTTTTTTTTTTTTTACTTTATTATTTATTTATTATCTATCTATATAATTGCACTTTAGATTCTGGGGTACATGTGCAAAACATGCAGGATTGTTGCATAGGTACATACATGGCAATGTGGTTTGCTGCCTCCATCCCCGTCACCTTTATCTGACATTTCTCCCCATGTTATCCCTCCCTAACTCCCTAACCCCCGCTGTCCCTCCCCTAGTGCCCGCCAACAGACTCCAGTGTGTCGTGCTCCCCTCCCTGTGTACATGTGTTCTCATTGTTCAACACCTGCCTGTGAGTGAGAACATTCGGTGTTTGATTTTCTGTTTTTGTGTCAGTTTGCTGAGAATGGTGGTTTCCAGATTCATCCTTGTCCCTACAAAGGACACAAACTCATCATTTTTTATGGCTGCATAGTATTCCATGGTGTATATGTGCCACATTTTCCTTGTCCAGTCTATCATTGATGGGCATTTTAGTTGGTTCCAGGTATTTGCTATTGTAAATAGTGCTGCAATGAACATACATGTGCATGTGTCTTTATAATAGAACGATTTATAATCCTTTGGATATATACCCAGTAATGGGATTGCTGGGTCAAATGGAATCTCTATTTCTAGGTCATTGAAGAATCACCACACTGTCTTCCACAATGGTTGAACTAATCTACACTCCCACCAACAGTGTAAAAGTGTTCCTATTTCTCCACATCCTCTCCAGCATCTGTTGTCTCCAGATTTTTAAATGATCGCCATTCTAACTGGCGTGAGATGGTATCTCAATGTGGTTTTGATTTGCAATTCTCTAACGACCAGTGATGATGAGCATTTTTCCCTATTCGTTGGCCTCATATATGTCTTCTTTTGAAAAGTGTCTGTTCATATCCTTCGCTCACTTTTGAATGAGTTTTTTTTTTTTTTTTTTTTTTTTCCCTGTAAATCTATTTTAGTTCTTTGTAGATTCTGGGTATTAGCCCTTTGTCAGATGGGTAGATTGCAAAAATTTTTTCCATTCTGTTGGTTGCCGGTTCACTCTAATGATTGTTTCTTTTGCTGTGCAGAAGCTCTGGAGTTTAATTAGATCCCATTTGTCTATTTTGGCTTTTGTTGCCGATACTTTTGGTATTTTAGTCATGAAGTCCTTGCCTATGCCTATGTCCTGAATGGTTTTGCCTAGGTTTTCTTCTAGGGTTTTGATGGTGTTAGGTCTTATGTTTAAGTCTTTAATCCATTTGGAGTTAATTTTAGTGTAAGGTGTCAGGAAGGGGTCCAGTTTCAGCTTTCTGCACATGGCTAGTTTTCCCAACATCATTTATTAAACAGGGAATCCTTTCCCCATTGCTTGTTTTTGTCAGGTTTGTCAAAGATCAGATGGTTGTAGATGTGTGGCGTTGCCTCTGAGGCCTCTGTTCTGTTCCATTGGTCTATAACTCTGTTTTGGTACTAGTACCATGCTGTTTTGATTACTGTAGCCTTGTAGTATAGTTTGAAGTCAGGTAGCGTGATGCCTCCAGCTTTGTTCATTTTGCTTAGAATTGACTTGGCTGTGCAGGCTCTCTTTTGGTTCCATATGAAGTTTAAGGCGGTTTTTTTCCAGTTCTGTGAAGAGGGTCATAGGTAGCTTGATGGGGATAGCATTGAATCTATAAATTACTTTGGGCAATATGGCTATTTTCACAATACTGATTCTTCCTGACCATGAGCATGGAAAGTTTTCCCGTCTGTTTGTGTCCTCTCTTATTTCCTTGAGCAGTGGTTTGTAGTTCTCCTTGAAGAGGTCCTTTACATCTTGTGTTAGTTATATGCCTAGATATTTTATTCTTTTTGTAGCAATTGTGAATGGCAGTTCGTTCTTGATTTGGCACTCTTTAAGTCTGTTATTGGTGTATAGGAATGCATGTGATTTCTGCACATTGATCTTGTATCCTGAGACTTTACTGAAGTTAAGGAGCATCTTTATAACTTTTGATATGTTTTTCTAGATTGTGTTTGGCAGAAGTTGGCTCTACCAGTAGTGAATGAAGGAATGCAGTATGTACACTAGCATTGTGTGCTTAGTGAGTTAAGGTGTTGAGAGCCTGTTAAATAGTGCTTTAGACTCTAGCTTTTCTTTGTCTTTCCAAGATCATTTAAGACTTTGTGGTCAGGTAGCATAGTAGTGGAGGAACAGAGGCTTAGATTTTTCCAAGTCTCTAGTTCTATTGACAAGATGAGGATAATAATATCTAAGGTATTATTATATCCTGTAATAATACGTAAGGTATTGGTATTGGTAAGGATAACATGCAAATTTCTTGACTTAGTAGGTACTTGGAAACTGTTGATTCCATTCTGTTCTTACCCTTTGAAGTGTTTAATGCCATGTGGTGGCCACAGTATGCAGCATTGTGAAAGATATGGCCAGTGCAAAATTTAGGCTAAGAGCCTGACATTGATATGAATTTTATATAGCTTATCAGGAGTGGGCTTGAGCTCTGAGCTCCCTGGCAGCTTCGTTTTAGAGGTCCTTCCTTCCTAGCTCTAGTCTCTGGGGTGCTGGAGTATAGACTCTTTGGTCTCACTGCAGATTCACACTCCAGGCTGTTACTCAGTTGTAAATTAGGTCTGGGAATTATCTCCAGCTGTGAATATCCAGGTCTGGCCTGCCAGGCATATATTTGCTTGAGATCAAGAGAGAGCCAGGCCAGGGGGTAGCTATATGCTACTAGGAGTGGGCTCATGTTGGAGAAGATAAGAGCCACACTAAACTAGGTGCTACCCTGGTCATGGGCTTGACCAGAGAGGTGCAGAGATATCTGGAGAGGCAGTAACAGTGTTGGACTAGGCTGAAGATTCCTGACCCTTGAGGACCTGAGTGTGGTACATAGCTGGCCAATAGGCTTTAATTCTTCTTAAGTGCCTTTAATATCCAAGAGATAAGCAGGAGGAGGTGTGAACTGTCTTGTGACTCAGATGGGATGTCTGCACAGAAGGGTCCAGAAGGACAGCCAAACAGGAGAGGAAAACACAGGTAGAGCTAGACTGTGGTATAACCATCCCTTCCTGGGAACCAAAGAAAGCAAACACAAAGTTATTTAGTGCTTATTATAGGCCAATATGCTAAATACCTTGCAGATATTATTTTATCTTCACGATAAACCTGTGTGCAGATGTTACAACTGCTGCTTTCTGAATAAGGAGACTAAGGCTAAGAATGGGTAAACTCTGCTGGCCCCTACTGATCACATAGTAGGTAAACAATGAGC